ACACTAAAGTGGAAAAAAAAGGACCCAGGGTGTGGGTGTGAACTGTGAAGGCAGAGCCTGGTGTGCAGTGAGCACTTCGTCAGCTCACAGCCAGAGGCGCTGTTCAGAGCAGGGGATTCTAGCTGTTCACAGGTACCATCGCTAGGCCCCCATCGGAGTCTCGACCCAAGGAAGGGTCATATCCTGGAATCCAGGGATAGGGAGGGGACACCTGGGGAGGAGCCACAGCCAGTCCAGGGTGGATGGGATGTCATCTGGCACAGCGTGCCGCACTTCTGGGGCTTCTGGGTGCACCTGATCTGCCCTGGGTGTCAGGAGAAATCTCTAGCAGTAGTGTGAGAAATAGCTGAGGTCCAGGAGCAGACAGATGGTAGGGCTGTCAGGAGAGTATGGAGAGGAGATGTGTGGGACCCTTCTCAGGTGACTAGGTGTGAGGAGGTGACCTGAGGGACTCGGGAATTACTACATCTGGAATTCCCTCAGGACCTCAACCAGGCCTCCAGATTACCCTTCAGAGTGGCTTTAGGGTCACTTCCTCCTGCAGGCTGAGGGGGGCAGCAGCTGCAGGAAAGGTGGGGCATCAGGGCAGAAAGAAGCCCTGGGGAGGTGAGGGCAAAATGTGGCCTGACAGTATTGGGGAATAGGCATAAACTAGGCAGGGCCGTGGGGCCCTAAAGCTCCTACCTCTGTCTTTCTGGGATGGTGGCTGCCCATACTGAACCCCACCACCGCCACTGGGTCTACTCTACCTTACCTGCAGTCAGCGGAAGCCAGGCCCCTGCCCAAGGATGGGGTAGGCAAAGAGCAGAGCTGTGGGGAAGGGGAACTCGGCTCAGGAAGGGGCCACTTCTCCAGGCTCTGAGAGAAGAAGGCGCCAGACTCCTAGCCCTCTTACCCTTACCCCAGATAAGACATTGCAACCTAGTGGGGAAGCTCTGAATAGCATGGCTCTGCAGCTGCTTGCTCTGGGACCCTGAACAGTTGCTGCCCTCTCTGAGCCTTAGTTTCCACTCTGTAAAATGAGAACCTTGGGTAAGCAGCAGCCAAGGGCCATCGGTCAGGCTCTCTGATGTACCAGAGGTACCCCCAGAGGAACCCAGCACCACTCAGTTCACTCTGAGGAGTTCAGTGAGGGCCTGCTATATAATGAGTCTAATGTCATTTGCTTTACACCCAGTGGACCCTGGGAGACTCTGAACACAGCTGCACAGAAGCAAAGCAAAGGGGGACCTGGCCCAGAACACTGAATGCACCCTGCTCACAGTAGCCAGGGCTCCAGGGCACCCAGAGGGAGCTGAGGCACACACACAGGGCTAGAGGCTGCCCTGAGTCTAGGCCAACTGTGTGTCATCAGTCTGTGGGGCCCACTCCAGTGGCTGGCAATGTGACCAGGGCTACTCTGCTCTCAGCCATTTCATCCCCTCCCCAAGGTGACCTCCCTCACCTTTTCCTCTGTGCCTGCAGCTCTGCTTCCTTACAGCACAGCTGCTTCCCAAGGTCTCATCTGCCATGTTCCATAATCCCTACATGGCTTCTCTGGGCTTCCTCCGAGTGCCAGCCCAGCAGCTCTCCCCACATCCCTGAGACAGCCTCAGGGGCCACCATATTTATTTGTGGCAGGTGATGTCACAGTCAAAGGTTGGCCTTAAGCTGATGGATTGTTCCATCGAGTGTCCCATGGACCCCTGGTCTGAGGCCCAGCTGCAGAAGGTGACCGAGTGGACTGTGAGTGGGCCTGGCAGTGTCCTGACCTTGCTGTGGAAAGGAGGTCATGGTAGGTTGCAGCTGGGGTAGATGGACCTGAGTATACACCGTGTCTGTGAATGTACCTAAGTGTGTGTGTTTACATGCACACACCTACAGGTGTGTGGGGGGGTCTGTGTGTGGGTGCTCATAATGGGAGGTGCAAGTACTCCTATGTCAATTGAATGGTGAGTGCTGCTTAAAGATATAAATGTGAGCAGCAATGTGTAACTCAGGGTAAAAAAATTCCACACAGGCTCAATGAGAAGAGGGTGTATGTTTCATCCTCATTAAGGAAAGCCAGGAAAACCTGACTCTAATGTGAAGCTCCTCCTGATGGAGAGGCAGGGGGTCTGCTCAAAGGCACTATGCATTTAGTGTATGTGCTGCCGAAGTGAGCACAGCACTGTGCATTTAAACCGTTTATTGTGGCACTATATATATATATATATATACTTTTTTTTTTGTACCAGGGATTGAACTTGGGTCCTTGTGCTTGCTGGGCAGGCAGTGGAACCACTGAGCTAAATCCCCAGCCTGTCGTGGCACTATATTTTAACAACTGCAGAAAGGTATATGTTAGAAAGTTGAAAAAAATACAGACTTCTTTGCTATACTGACAACTATGTAAAATGTAAGTCAGCACATGAAAATAGCCCAGGAAAATGAAAACAAGTGTACGGAAGTTGGGGAGGGACTTTATGTGGTTATTATAGTGCTTTTACAGTAAAAAACAGCAGAGGCTATGTGCAGGACAAACCAGCCCAGGAGGACAGTGCTGGGGGTGGAGGTATCGCTCTCCAGGGTGGACTGTGTTCATACCAGCACCTCCATCTTCAGCAGCTCACCCCAAGTAAGGGCCAGATCCAGGAATCCAAAGATAGAGAGGGGATCCCTGGCTTTCAGGGAGGTGGCAGAAAGCACAGCCAGTTGGGGTGGATGGGATGTCATCTGGCACAGCGTGCCCCACCTTTGGGGTTTCTGGGGTCACCTGATCTGCCCTGGGCATCAGAAATCTCCAGCAGCAGTGTGAAAATGCCGAGGTCCAGGAGCAGGCAGGAGGGCAGCCAGGAGAGTAAGGGATTAAGATCCCAGTGTCACAGGCTCCACTCCTTTGGGTGAAGCCCAGGCCATGTCTCTCCGCAGCTTTCCTTTCTTTATAACCAGCACCTTGGCCATGAACGTGGCCTTCCCAACGAGGCTGACACGGGCTGAGCTGGGCTCTGGGCCCTTGTTCCGATGTCAGCTCTGCTGGCACTGGTGCCCAGTGTGAGCATCAGGGAGGTAGTGAGTGCCCTGCCCTTGGGCCGTGGTGGGCAGAGTTGGTGCCTGGAGCTGGTGCTGCCATTAGTCTCACATTCACCTCCCCAGAAAGTGCAGGCAGAGACCAGGACAAGGGCGTTGGGTCCTGAGGAGCCAGCCCTGTTCTGAACGTCACCAGCAGTGGACTCTGGTCATCAGTCAGTGGCCCTGATGGGTCTTCTGTCAAGTGGGAAACATGGAGTGGCTGTAAAGACTACCTAGGGAATTAGTGGGGAAACTGAAACCAGTCCAACGCTTCCCAAAAGTCTGGGTCACACTTATCCCTGACTGTGACACCTGTGTACCCCGCACCCCCATCCCAGACCTGCCCTCCAGAGAGCCAGGGCTGAAATTAGCTGGCTTCAGATGAGGAAACTGAGGCTCAGGGGTCCCCAGGTCCTCAGCCCCCAGCTCCTCTGAGGAGCACAGAGGTCCTTGTGTGTCCGAGACAGGATCACCCCCGTGAGCGACCCTCTGTCCTGTCTCTCTCAGGGCACAGCGTGGACCCTGGCCTGGCCGGTCTGCTGGGGCGACAGGCACCACGCGCCAGACAGCCTTTCATGGTCACCTTCTTCAGGGCCAGCCCGAGTCCCATCCGCGCCCCTCGAGCAGTGCGGCCCCTGAAGAGGAGGCAGCCAAAGAAAACCAACGAGCTGCCGCACCCGAACAAACTCCCAGGCATCTTTGGTGAGGGCCGGGGCAGGCCTGGGTCTGAGAGGCCTCCCTCACAGGGAGGGGCCCCTGGTGGCCTCACCGTGAGGCCCTGACCCTGTGGGGCCGGAGTGGAAGGAGGGTGGGCTGCAGCCCGAGGCATCTCCAGAGGGAAGCAGGAGAGGCCGTGGAATGGTCGAGGGTCCTCCCTGGCTGGCCAGTGGAGGGGCCAGAGCCCCCCAGGCTGGAAGACAAGGCAGGTCCGGCTGAGCATGGCACCGCTCTGTAGGAATCAGGAGCCACTGAAGGCTGCTGAGCTGGGGTTGGGGGACCAGGGATCCAGGGCTGGGACTCCTGAGAACCAAGGCTTTCATTTCCTGTTGCTCCTTTACTTGACAAATGTGTCCCTGAGGGTGCCCCTCACCTTGGGATCACCTCGTGGTAACTGCACAGAGCAGGAACCCCAGAAAAGACCTGTGCCGTCTGTCCCTGCAGATGACATCCACGGCTCCCATGGCCGACAGGTTTGCCGGCGGCACGAGCTCTACGTCAGCTTCCAGGACCTGGGCTGGCTGGTGAGTCCGACTCCTCCCCTGACTGACCTGGTCGGTCTCCGGGGTCACCTTCATGAGGGAGGAGCAAAGTGAGACTGTGCCACTTTCATGGTTTATATACACAAAAACCACAAAAATGGAGACTACACGAACCCTCAGCTAACTAAAATCTCGTGCTGCAAAAGGGAAACTGAGGCCAGGTGGGCAGAACCTCCGAGCATTTGCTGCAACTGCAGCTCCAGAAAGTGTGGAGCAGGCAGGATGGAGGGGACAGGCTGGGGAGGAGAGAGCAGAGCGGACGGGGGGCGATGGGGACATAGCTCAGGCCCAGCCCTGTGTGCTGAGGGTCGCTGGGTGGATTCAGGCCCCTGGGGTGACACTGCTCAGGAGGGGCCAAGAGTGGGTTTGGGGGCCCTGAGGCTCAGGGAGGGTACAGGCTGCCTGGGGTCGTCCCGGGACAGGAGCTGGGCTGGGGGCTCTGGGAGCACACGGACGGGACTGACCTTCTCCTGTTCCCCCAGGACTGGGTCATCGCCCCCAAAGGCTACTCGGCCTTCTACTGTGAGGGAGAGTGCTCCTTCCCGCTGGACTCCTGCATGAACGCCACCAACCACGCCATCCTGCAGTCCCTGGTCAGTACCACAGCCATCCTGCCCTGGCTTGTTGATGGGGGCCCTGAACAGGGGCCTGGTCAGCTGGGAAAGAGGTGACAGCAGCCACAGAGAGGAGCTGTCTGTGGGGACCCAGGCATGTAGGTCAGACTCCACATGGTGGGGTCGGGTGGGCCAGGGGACCTGTGCAGGTGGAGTGGAACAGAAAGGTCCCGAGTGAAACTCAGTAGCCTTGAGAGATGTGGCTCATGGATGGTCTTAGGTCCTGAGGACAGACAAGACGTCAGGGAGAGCCAGCAGCCCCAAGAGCCTGGACAGGAAAAGGAGCCCCGGGGGATGCTGGGGCTGGGGGCACAATATGGAAGGGGAGGGAGCCTCGAGGTCCCGAGGGCCAAGAGGAGAAAGCAGGTCCCTCCAGGCCCACCTCTCAGGGCCACTGTCCCCCCAGCAGCCAGGGGGTCTTCCTACCACAATCGAACCTGCCCACACACATCCTTCTCGGCCAGGAAACTGTGTCCTTCCAATTATTCCAGACGAGGTCTGAGCCCCTGGCTTGGCATGTGCAGCCCCTCAGCCACCCTGTCCAGCACCCCCCTGCCACGTGTCTTTTCTTTTGTTTCTTTTTTCTTTTCTTTTCTGGTTTTATTTTTTGGTACCAGGGATTGAACTCAGATCTTTGCACTTGCACAGCAGGCGGCAAAACCACTGAGCTAAATCCCTGGCCCTTCTTTTCCGGTGTTTTGAGACAGGGCCTCACTATGTAGTCCACTGCCTTGTACTCACTATGTAGCCCATATTAGTCTTAAACTCACATCATCCTCCTACCTCAGCCTTCTGAGTACTAGGATTACAGGCCTGCGCCACCACATCCAGCCCCAGGTGTCCTTTTTGAGTTCAGGTTGTCACCAGGGCTCCTGCTGCATGGCGCGGAAGGCCTACTTTTGTTACTGGGCTGCCGCATGTGTCCGTGAAATGCTGCCGTTCACTCCCTGGGAGTCCTGGGCTCCCCTCCTGGCTCATGTCCAAACATGAGACAAGTGTGGTTCTACTTTTGGCAGAGAAAGCTGTGGCCCACAGGCATGGGATTGTCCCCAAAGATGCACATCCACAAGCTCCACAACTTCCGATTTCATTTCCCACAGGATGTGATGTGGATGTGTGACTCAAAAATGAATCAAGTGGGGCGTGGGGGTGCAGCTCAGTGGTAGAGCCCTTGCCTAACATGGAAGAGGCCTGGGATCAACCCTCAGCACTGCAAAACAAAAACAAACAAAAATCCTCACTGGAACAAACAAATGAACGGCTGGACGGGACCTTGAACACCCGGAGTTGGTCTGTGATACCAGGTGGATTAAAGGCCACTTCCCTTGGCGCTGCCCATCTGGCGAAGCCAGGGCTGTGGGGGGAGCAAGGAATGGCAGCAACTGGGCCCTGACTTCTCTCTCCGGTGTCCCCACTCAGGGAAGGCCCTGTCTGGGTTGTGGCTACTTAGGGCCCATCGGCCATCACGGGCTGCTGGCGCCTCCTGGCTCCTTCCCGTGGGCCTGAAGATGCAGAGATCGCCATGGGCCTCGGGCCTCAGTGGCTCAGTTCGTCATCTTCAAAGAATAATCCTTGCCCTGGGAGTTGTTAGGAGCAGCAAACACATCAAGGGGGCCCTGGAGCCTTAGGCCTTCTCCGTTGGCTCTGTGCTCACTCCTGGCTGAGTCTGGAGGGGAGACCACCCGTCCACAGCTCATGTTGGGACCCGTTGGGGATGTAGTTGCAGCACAGAGATGAGTGGGAAGCAGAGGCCCCAGAGGAGCTGGTGCTGCAGAGGGTGCCCAGGTGCAGGGGTCCTGGGGACACACAGAGTTGCCCACATCTGGGGTAGTCGATGTGGCAAGGGGTGGCCAAGGGGCCTGGAGAGCTGAGGAGCAGGTGTTCGGGACCTGGATGGCTGTGCCAGTTGCCTGGGCTGTGTCCTGGCATGGTGGGAGAGGCAGATGTGCACGGGGGACCCTGGCTGCAGGTGTAGAATGACCTTGGGAGAGGCAAGGGGACTGAGACCTGCAAGATGGGTCAGGTGACAGCACGCGGGACCTGGGAGGAGGCCTCCAGGCTCATGTACCTGCCTGTGCTCGCTCCCTGGCCAGGTGCACCTGATGAAGCCAGATGCAGTCCCCAAGGCGTGCTGTGCACCCACCAAGCTGAGTGCTACCTCTGTGCTCTACTATGACAGCAGCAACAACGTCATCCTGCGTAAGCACCGCAACATGGTGGTCAAGGCCTGTGGCTGCCACTGAGGCCCTGCCCACATGCTCTCCTGCAGCCCTCCCTCCCTGGATCAGGACCCTCTGCAGAGGCAGGAAACCCTGAAGCCCAACCAGACCTAAGGCAGGGTTGGCAGGGAGGGCCTTCAGACCTACTTCCTTGCCTCTCCCTCTTCCACACTAATGCTTGGGCCTCCTCAGACCCTGAAATACCCTTCCCCTGTCTTAGGATGGTCAGGTGGTCTTGCCTGCAACCCTGGTGGTCTGAGTCCTGAAGCAGCAGTTTATCTCCATCACCTCCCCCAGAAGCACATACTGAACAACTCTGGGATTGGCACAAAAGTCATGGGTATATTCTTGCCCATTACTGGCCCAGGCTGTGGGCAGGTGTGGGATGAACTGAGAGGCACCTGGAGCTCTAGACTGGCCACCTTGGCCTCTTTCCTGTCCAGTACAGAGTTTAGGAATGTATGGACAAGGTCTGGTGCAACCATCCTTCCCCTGCCTGCCTCTCCCGGGTGCAAAACTGGCCATTTCTAGAAAACAATGAAAAGTATGGACTTTATCTCAGTAATGCATATTTATGCATGTGAATTACTAAATCTCTGGCCACAGATAGGCATGCGGGTCAGCTCAAGAAAAAGCTGAATGAACAGCAACATGATTCAGGGCTAAAGCCAATGGCATGTATCCTCCCTTCCTGCCTTGCATCTGCCTCTGGTGCCTGGAGAAAATGTGCATGGATGCACATCTTGCTTTGGAGAAATAGAAAAATCTTGGATGCTTCCTTTGGTGAACTAATGTAACTAATGGTCAACTTGTAATGCCCAGCTGAACTGAATCAGCATGGTCTGGGCATGGAAGATCTACCTGAGGATTGTTGCCATTAGCCATAAAAACAGAACTGGAGGAGAAGATCGTGGGCTATTGATTTTCTAGGAGAAGCTTACTGCGGGTGGTTTTCCTGAGGATCTCAGGGCCTCACTATCACTGGAAATGGCTATTATTCTGGTCAGGGGAGCTCTGATCTTCACCGTGAACATCACTTCCTGGCTCCAGTGTAGATCCCTCAGCCTGATGGCACAAATCCTTCATCCCACCGGCATAGGTTCTTTGGCTTCCACTACTGGCCTTTGGGTCTTCAGGGTGCAGACCTTCAATATGGACAAACATGAGACATTGCTGTGGGCTCTGGGCCACTGGCTGGACTCAAGGAGGACATTGCCTTGGACTCTAAGCATTTAGCTGGACTTGTGTGGGACACTGTTGTGGGATCCAGGCTAGATTTTTTGGTCCTCTAGTGTGCGGTTAATCTCTTGTACTCCTCTGCATTTGACTTTTTGGGTAAATATCACAAAATAATCCTATAAATAATGTATCCTGTATTAAATGTATTCCCTTGACAAAACCCTGACTACAACACTTCCAGTGGATTCATCTATCTGAAACCATGTTCGCCTGGCAGAAGCTGAAGTTTGTGAGGAAATTCTTTTTGCTGAGCAAGCAAGGTGGCTGCACTGGGTGTTCCAGGATGACAGTGGCCAGCACAGATGCCCTTTTCTTCTGCATGGCAAACATCAACAATTACTCCTGATTTTTTGATCTGAGTCTGAACGGAATTTCCAAGTGATCCCAGGACTCCAGGCAGGACTCTCAGGACTCCAAAGTTGGCATGTGAAGAGAGAATTGTTTGTCATCTTCTGCAATGCAAAAGAGCAACCTGTGTTCCCAGAGTAATATGTCTGTGATACCAGGCAGCCTGTGACCAGATCTGGGGCAAGGCCAGCAGCTTGTCAGCACCTGCTGGTGTCCAGTTGTCAAAAACAGGTTGAAAAAAAACCCCAAAAACGGGTTTGTCTGCCTGATCCTGGGTGCCCAGCAGCCCTGTCCTGTTTCTTGCACCTGTGAGTCAAAAAAAGGTCCCTGTCCCCGGGGAGTGACAGGTGATAATTGGGTTGGGTTGGGTGAGGAGCTTTGTCTCAGCTTCACACTTCCTGTTCTTCTTGGAGCAGCCTCTGGGAGTTGGAGTGTTTATTTGATTTTGGACTGGCTAAGCCTGTAATTTACCTACTGGAACATATGGAGTCCAGCTGCCTGCACTGTGTCATTAAGGGCACGTCCTGGGCCTGTCCACACCCAGCCCCAGTGGACCCACCCGTGAGCCCTGGGATACACATCTCTGGAGTTCATGCTCTGTGCCCCTGAGGACGGGTCTTGGGGAAGGCAGGTGTGGCTGTAGGGGAGAGGCTGGGGCCACGCTGTGGAACAGCAGCCCCTCCACTGGGACCAGGGAGGGCCTCCCTGTGTGAGTGCAGATGAAGGCACCGTCCCACGTATGCAGAGGTGGGCCCAGGTGGTCTGGACATTTCCCCATCAGTTGGGGGATCCTTAGTGTGGGGATCCAGCTCTGGCCTGGATGTAAGGAGACCTGACTTGATTTGGACCTGTAATGTGAGAGAGTTGGACTTTTTGATTCCAAAGGGCCCTCAGCCTGGGTATCTATCAACCAGCCTTCATCACAATGTACCCAGATGCAGCCTTATGACCTTATGGTCTTGAATGTGGAGCTCAGGTGGCTCAGTCAGTTGGCGGGTAATAAAAGATCTATTTGCTATTCTAGTACTTTTCTAACACTTCTTCTCAACATCAAGGATTGTCTTTTAGGTCAATAAGCCAATGATTTTGACAACTAGTAACTTTAATGCCCAGCCAATGATCTGACATAGTATGGGGGGCACCAGGGACCCAGAGGTTTGTAGGCATGGACTACACCCTACCTGTCAAACTGTATAGCAGGAATGGATAAATTGCCATCTTTGTTCAGAATAAATGAAAAACAAGGCATCATTTACCTATCTTGCCATCCAGATGGTCACAAAAGGAAATCAAATGGAAAAGCCCTTGAGTAGCAAAACAGTTGTACATGGAAACAAAGTCCGTGTGTCTTACTGCAGGACCTAACATTTGCTGAGCCAAGCATGGCAGCTGCAATGGGCAGCCCACCCAGCAACACAGATAGCACTGTTTCCCCTTTCCTTGCTCAGGACAGCCTGTTTATCTGGCTGCACCAGACTAAGTTAATAAAGAGTGGTCAGTTCATATCCACTGATAGTTGACAGGAAGATACAAAAATAGAAGTGCCTGGCACTGCAATACTGACCTTGGGTCATGTCATCAGAGGATCAGGGTTCACTTCTTCTAAGGTAAAAAAGAAACATATTCCTGAAAAACTTATAAGCCAGAGATGTAGCTCAGTGGTGCCGTGCCTGCCTGCCTGCCAAGTGCAAGATCCTGAGTTTAATCCTGGTACCAGAAAAAAAAGAAAAAAGAAAAAAACTAAGGAAAAGAGGCAGTGTATCAAGACTACCAATATTGGGGAGCAAATAGATTTGAATCCAAGTTCTGCTTTTTCTTCCATAAAGATATTGGTTCTTCCCTCCTATAGGTACTATACATATTAAATGTGCATTAAGCATGTGGGATGTCTGACAGACACATCCTTAACAATCAGTACCTGTGGTCATCATTGCAAGATCTGCTCATTTGGAACCACTCTGTGCCGGTCCATTAGACCAAAATATGTTTCTAAAGTGATGGTGTATTTAAGGCTGTACTTTCTCCTAAAAAAAATCTAACCTGGGTTTCCTTTGAGGGCAGGACTTATTTCTCACCACCTTTAAAGGCCTGGCAAGTGTCTGGCAAGGTGGGCAGTGGGGAGGTTGTGACACCATGCTCTTGGGTTTCCAGAGACACCGGGACCCCACAGTGTGCTAAGGGTTTTCCACACCCACTCATGTGACAATCTGGATGTGGGAACTGGCCATCCAGGGTTTGATCAGTAATGTGAGGCTTTATGCAAACATTTTGACTTTCAGAAATATTTTTCATTTATTAAAAAAAACCACAAAAATAAAATACAATTCAAATCACCATAGTTCCATGACTCAGATAAATATACCTTTAATATTTTGGTCACTTTTTTTCTTAAAATATACGTATACCTGTTTACATATTATAACTTTACCATACTACACTATATAAATTGCTTTGTGATCTTTTTCACTTTATTAGTACAAATTTCTTAGTTTTTGAAAACATGGCTCTTCAGTTTCTCATCACCTGAATTCTGCTGTGAGATTCCATTTTCGCCACTAAGTCATCTGTCCCAATTCTCTCTCAGAGGGCTGCTGTGAGGCTGTAACAGATACAGCAGTGTCTGGAACCCCCTACCTCACCACTGGGAATGCCAGCAGCTGCAGCCCAATCCTGGGATCCCAATTCTAGTCTCTGCCTTCATTCATGCTGGCTGCTAAGCTCTGTAGACCCAGCCTCTCCTGTTTCCTATACACACCTTGAACTCAGTGCCACGGTCCCCAGCCACAAATGCCTGCCATAATGCTGGCAACTGAACTCTGATGGCTGAGCTCCGTGTAGAGAAAGCCTGCCAGGGTCAGCTTGCCTACACCATGGTGCCCAGTTTTTGGTCAAATACCAGGTGATTCCATCAAGGTATTTTTCTTAGATGGATTAATATATTCAAATCAGTGGAATAAGGCAGATTACCATGCATAAGGTGAGGGCCTCATCTACTCAATTGAAAGTCTTAAGAGAAAAAGACAGTTCGTCAGAAGGATTCTACTTCCAGACTGCCTTTGGACTTGACGGCAGAGCCAGTTTATTCCTGGGTCTTCAGCCTATGGGCTGCCCTATGGATTTCAGACCTGCCAGTTCCCATAACTGCATGAGCCAATCCCTTAAAACAGCACACCCCAACATACTCTTACATGTATACATCCTATTGGTTCTGTTTCTCTGTACAGTTTGACAAATATGGGACCATACAGTGTCTGTCACCAACTATTCAGCTCTGCTGCTATAGTGAGAAAGCAGCCACGCATGATATGTAAAAAAATGGATATGGCTGTGTTCCAATAAAAATGTATTGCAAAAATAGGGAGTGGGCTGGATTACAGCATGTATTTTGCTAATCTGTCTCCTGACAAACAGTATCTGGCACACAGAAGGTACTTCAGAGTTATAAAAATAAACCTACAGAACAAAAGTAAACAGACCACTGAGGCTAATCAATATACTTGCTAGCTACAAGACTTGGCAGTGGCTGTCTCACCAGAGGCAGAAGAAAACAGGAACATTTGTACTATCTTTGATTTCCATTACCCGGGCATCATCTCACAATTTGTGACATCTGGCATGAAGATGTATCACCTGGCATCTCAGGGAATCGGCCCAAGGGAGGAAACAAAAGCTGTGAGGAAGGCACTGTGCCCCATTCATTGCCAGCCTGCCTCAGGGGAACAGCTCAGCCACAGATGCAATCTCTGACAGCACCCAGAAACTCTCTAGAGGCAGCAATATAAGAATCAGGATTTATTTTAGCAGAGAAAGTGTCCAGGATCCTCAGATGGGCCAGGGCAGGTCCTGGCACCGCACGCTGGGAAAGCCAGGGGACAGTCAGCTGTCCACGGTGGGGAGGGCGGCACCTGCGCTGGCTCCCAGGCCCACAGCGCACCTGTAGGAACCCAGAGCAAGTCCAGGCCGCACTGCGGAGGAGCTGCTCCAAGCTGGCCCCAAGGAGGAACTGAGACCCTGTGTCGTCTGCTTCACACAGGACACCCTCCGTGCAGGCCCAGACACACAGGCAGGAGCAGAGAGGGAGCGGGGTGGCGCCTCACATGTACTCCCCACAGTCGGAGATGATCACCTTCTGCTTTGGCTTCCCATCCTTGCTGCCCTGGGCCTTTGTGGGAGGAACAGAGGAGGAGGCAGGGTCAGGGGCGCGAGGGGAACAGACTAAAGAGGCTGGGGAAACCCACCCACCCGCGACCAGGCAGAAGTGGCCCCCACCCTCCCACAGGGCTGCTCACCAAGGGCTGGGGAGGGGCCTGTGCCCGCCACTCACCTCGATCTGCCGCAGGACATCCAGGCCTTCGGTGACCTCCCCAAACACCACGTGCTTGCCATCCAGCCACTCTGTCTTGTCACAGGTCAGGAAGAACTGGGAGCCGTTGGTGTTCGGGCCAGAGTTGGCCATGGAGAGGAGGCCTGGGAGAGGGGGACCCCATCAGCTCCCTCCACCCTGTTCCCAGCCCTCAGGCAGCTGTGCGCAGACTCTCAGGGGCACAGACCTGTGGGTGTGGCCACCTTCTTTCACTCAGGTGACAGTGAAACAGGATGAAGAGTGTTGTTTCAGTCATTTATACTGGTCTGTCCTTTCATGCATTCATTTCATTTATTTAACAATTATTAAATTTAATTAATTATTTAAACAATTATTAGTTTATAATCAGGCCCCTAGTAAGCCCCGGGATACTGACGAGCAAAGCAGTCCTACTGGAGTAAAGTTCAGTCAGTGGAAAAGGGTCATTAAAAGACACACATAGGACTGCACATGTGTTCGCATGTGTGTCATGCAGCCAACCCAGGAGATGCCGTGAAGAGGCCGTTGTGCTCTATGGGTGGCACAGGAGAGGAGTCAAGGGAGAGGCCTAAGTTTCTGACAGCAGCCAAATGGACAGTGGTGTCATTTACCAAAACAGGGAAGATGGGGCTGGGGATGTAGCTCAGTGGTGCTGCACCTGCATAGCAAGTGCAAGGACCTGAGTTCGATTTCCAGTACCAGAAAAACAAACAAACAGGGAAGATAAGGAAGAGTCAGGAGAAAAGCAAGAGTTGTTTTGGCCTTCTGACATCTGAGGAGCCTATCGGATACCCAGTGAAGACCACAGGTGGATGGCCGGACAGAAGCCCAGAAGGCAGAGAGCAATCAGCCTGGAGACTCAAACTTGGACAAACTCAACTTAGATCTTGGTGAAAGCTCTGAGACTGAATAGGATTCCCTAAAGGAGCGACTCTAAGTGGGGTTGGTCCTTCCCTAGGGGCCATTTAGAGACTGAATGTGTTTGTGATTGTCAGGCACACTGAGCGGTGCTACTGGCATTTAGTGAGCAGAGCCCCAAATGTGATATATTCTGCAATGTCCTGTACAAGGAAGAACTGTCCCACACCCGGCTAGTACTAGTGAAGGTGAGAAATGTGTTGACAATTACCTGTATGTAAGGTCCAATCCCTACATTTTTGAGGGTTTTTGTTTTATTTCTTAGAGAATCTTCTAGGAATACAACTACATAAACCAAGAGAAAATGACCCATCCATTTGGAATCTCTATCATGTCACAGACTCCCGTCACCAGCACATCTTGGCAGCTGGCAGACACCTGTCTGGATTCCTAACTAGTTCAGCTGAGCACAGGTGCACCTGTCTGAGTCACACCTGACGTCTGCTGGTACAGTGGTACTTGCACATTTACATCCACAAACATATTCTTTCTTATAACTGACTTTCATGTTCTTTCCTATTAGTCAAAATAACTCTGTGGCCAGGTAAGCTATAGCATCTGTGCCTTTTGGTCCAGCATAGTAAAAAATAGTACAAACTATGAGGAAGAAAAAGAGGCCTAGGGGAGCAGAGTTCTACGGAGAAAAAAGGCTGAGCTCTGAGCCACTTCAATTTTACGGAGGCAGGAAACAGAGGAGATGGCAAAGTCAGAAAAAGTTGCCAATTAAGTAAAAGGAAACCAGAAGAGGGAGGAGTCCAGCCAGCAAAGTGAAGAAAAGTTCAAGGAGCACAGGATAATGGTACAAAATGCTGCTGGGAGGTGGAAAAGGATGAAGGCCAACAAATGGTTACCAGCAAGATGGAAGCTGTTGGCATCTTTGAAAAGTGTGGTTTCAACTTGAGGTAGGACTAGAAGTCTGGCTGAAAAGGTTCAGAGAATGAAGACAATGAGTCCACACTGTTTCAAATGTAGTCTAAACTTTTTTTGTTTTGTTTTGTATTCTGAGACAAGGTCTTACTATTAATAAGTCCAGATTGGCCTTAAATTCATTATGTAGCACAGGCCGGCCTCAAACTTGCAACAATCCTCCTGCCTCAGCCTCCTGAGTACTGAGATTACAGGTATGTGGCACCATGCCTGGCAGTCTAAACTTTTTCAAGTTTTACTAAAAAGTAGACTAGCAGCAGGTATAGTGGCACATGCTTATAATACCATCTATTCAGGAGGCTGAGGCATGAGGCCACATGTTTGAGACCAGCCTAACCAACTAAATAAAGTAAAAAAGGCTGAGAATGTAGATCCTTAGTACTGCATTAAAAAAAAAAAAAAAAGTAGACCAGAGACATGGGTGACAGCTATGGGAGAATAAGTCCAAGGATACCTTTTTAAAATCTGTTTTGAGACAAAGTCTCACTATGCAGCCCAGGCTGACTCGAACTCATGGCAACTGTCCTGTCTCAGCCTCCCAAGTGCTGGGATTAAAGGCATGTGCAACCATGGCCAGCTAACAATTTTTACCAGTTCCTTTGGGGGAAGATTATTTTTGTTTGTTTTTGTTTCGTGTGGTACTAGGGATTAAAGCCAAGGGTGCCCCAGCCCTTTTTTTTTTTTGGTACCAGGGATCGAACTCGGGACCTTGCACTTTCGAGGCAAGTGCCGGCACCACTGAGCTAAATCCCCGGCCCCCTTTTTTTAAATTTTGAGGCAAGGCCACACTAACTTGCCCAGGCTGGCCCTGAACTTGCTCTTCTTCTGCCTCAGCCTCCAGAGTACTTGGGATTACAGCCTTGTGCCACTTCGTCCCAGCTCCCAAGGATGGTTTTTCAAAAGACTGGCACTACCTGTAATCCCAGCACTTGGGAGGCTGAAGAAGGAGAGTGCCATGAGTTCGAGGCCAGACTGGGCTACAGAGTAAAACCTCTCAAAAAAACAAAACAAATAAAATACTGGTACTGATTATAAGCTGAGGGACCGATCTGGTAGAGCAGGGGAAGTGGATGATAGAAGGCAGAAGGAGACATCAGCAGAAGCCAAGTTCCTAAGTCTGGGAGAATGACGGGATAGAGCCCACAGCACAGAGCTGTTCTCTGTGCCCAAGGCAGTCAGAGCATGCAAGTGTGGAGAGAGGTGGGTGGCAAGGAATCAGGCAAAACCGGAGGGTGCTCAAGAGACCTCAGGAGTGAACGCAGGCACGGAACTGTCATCTCTGATGGGACTAAGCACCAGCTAGGGAGTGCTGGCCAGAAGTGTAGTCAAAGCTCACAAAGGAGCACTCAGTAAAATTCCGTGTTTTTCTCTAGTTGCAGGGAGACCAAACACTGAAATTTCACTAGGCAAGTCTGAGAAGGCAGGGGAGAAACAAAGGGGTTCTTGGAATGAGAGCTCATGAGCAGATCACAGAGCCGAAGCTAACCTAACAGGTGTGAAGGGTGGGGGGAGACCGTGTGTGAAGGTTAGCTGGTGAGGTCATCCACAGCCTCCTTTAGGCCCCTGCCCACTGCCAGAATCACAGCTGTCCTCCCAGCCCCGGCCCCGCCTCCCCTGTCACCACACCAGCAACTCCAACCTGGTCCTGTGTGCTTGAGAATAAAGTTTTCATCATCAAACTTCTTCCCATAGATGGACTTGCCCCCAGTGCCATTGTGGTTTGTGAAATCCCCACCCTGGCACATGAACTGGGGGATGATGCGGTGGAAGCTGCTTCCCTTGAAGCCATAGCCCTTTTCATGGGTGCACAGGCAGCGGAAATTCTCTGGTGTTGAGAAAGGACAAAGTGCTGGGGTTAGAAGACAAAAGCAGACAAAAGAAACCTCTAAAAGTAATGTTTTCTCTAATGTTTAAATGTTCATCCTTTGGTATTCACATGGGATTGATTCTAGGACCCTCTGTAGATACCAAAATCTGGGGATATTCAGACGCAAAAGTCCCCTATAATCTATGCATGCATGTGTATGTTTGTATATATATATGGGAGAGTGCTGAGACAGGGTCTCCCTGTGTACTTCAGGCTGGCCTTGAACTCCCAGCTATCCTCCTGCCTCAGCCTCCCAAGTGCTGGGATTACAGCTGTGTGCCATCATGCCCAGTGCTCTCCTGTATACTTTAAATCATCTCTAGATAACTTACAATACCTAACACAGTGAAAATGCTATGTGAGTAGTTGGTATACAGTATTGTGTAGGGAATAATGACAAGAAAAAAAAATGTCTGAACAGATTTCGGCACAGGACAGATGTGGTGCACGCCTGTAATCCCAGCATTCACTGGGGCAGGAGGATCAAGGCCAGCCTGGACCATATAGTGAGACCTTGTCTCAAAAAACAAACAAAAAATTAGATTTAAACAGGTGTACTGAATTTTTCCCTCTAATTTCTGAGCTGTGGCTGGATGAATCCAGAGATGTGGAATCCCTGGACAGGAAGAGTCAACTATATTTCCATTTTTGAGTAAGAAAGGCTCATTATAAACCTTTTTGATATTGACTTCTTGAAAGAAGACAGGGCATTATAATTAAAGGAGGACTGAATACTCTACATGCACCCCAGCTCTGCTACCTCCCCAAACCACATTATATTGATGTTAGGTAATTTTTTAAAAAGAGGAAAACCCAAAGGATCTTAGAATGAAACATAAAGCAAATTTTCACAACTTTGGATTTGGCGATGGTTGCTTAAACATGACCCCAAAGACATAGGTAACAAAAGAAAAATAAAATAGATTTCATCAAAATTAAACTTTTGTGCAAGGAAGGACACTCAATAGTGAAGGGTAACACATAACGGAAGAAAATATGTGAAATTACATTCAATAAGGGTTTAATTTCCAGATATACATAATAAACTCCTGTAATTCAACAAAGCTGGGTGTGATGATACACACCTGTTAATCCCAGCACTCAGGAGGCTGAGGCAGGAGGATCGCCAGGAGTTTGAGGCCAGCCTGGGCTACTTAGCAAGACCCTGTCTCGGAACAATAAAAAACAAACCAAAAAACAACAAAAAGACAAACGATCCAGTTAAGAAATGGACCAAAGAGTTGACAAAGATACAAAAGTGGCCAATAAACTCACAAAAAGATGCTCAACAGCATTAGTCATTAGGGAAGTGGAAATCAAAACCATAATGAGGTACCACTTCACGACTGTTGGAGAAGATGGAGAAATTTGGGAACTTCATTGCTGGTGGGAATGAGGCTAACAGTACATTTAAAAATCATGAGTGTGACCAAAAATAGATAAATAAAAAATAGAGAGAAGTGGGGAAATGGTGGCATATGCCTGTAATCCCAGAACTTTGGGAGGCTGAGGCAGGAGGATTGCAAGATCAAGTTCTGCCTGGATAACTTGGCAAGACTGTCTCAAAATAAAAAAGGGCTCGGGCTGAAGCTCCACAGTGGAGCACTCATGAGTTTGACTCCCAGTAGCACAAGGCAAACAAACAAAAAGGAAGGGGGAGACAATAGCAACAGAAAATTTTGAAAGCTAGAAAACAGATGAGTCATAACTGATATAGCAGACCTGAGAAAGTAGAATTTCAAGCTAGTAAAACCCAAAAAACAAATCATTTTATATTCCATCACTCAGATATAACTGTGATTGTAATTCTAAAAACAGCCAGACTGGGTGAACTCTGTATAAGAAAGCAGTTAACTCCCGAAAGTTTTTCCTTGACTCTCCAGGTCGGGGCTGCCCCTCCACTCCCCTAGCAGTGGCCCAGCTGGAGGCCCAATCTGGTGGGTTAAAGCAGAAGGTCTCTGGATTAGAACACCCTAGGAACCTCCATCACAAGGGAAGTCAAAGTTTATATACTGAATCTCCTGTCTCCTCACCAAGATGGCAAACAGCTTGATGTAGAGTCTGGGAGAGAATCAGGAAGAGTGGGTACTAAAGGGGATTTGAAAAAGCTAATTCCTTAGGTGGGAGCAGTGGCAGGTGGGACACACTGAGGCAGGAGGATTACAAGTTTGAGTTCCACCTGGGCAACTTCTAGTGAGTCTCTCTTTAATTTCCAGTATGGGGGGTGGTAGTGAATTCCTGAAACAGAAAGTCAAAAGATAATGTCTAAAATGAAAAACACAAACAAACAACAAACAGTGCTGGGATTTAGCTGTGGTTTCGCTGCCTGCTGTGGAAGCACAAGGACCCGAGGTCAATCCCTGGTACCAAAAAAACCCCCAAACAAACAAACAACCCCCCCCCCAAACAGGAAGTACAAATACAAAGCATCTACCCATATGGAAGTAAAAAATCAAAAGAATTGGCTAATAGCTGAAATCAGCTATCTCTGAGGAATAACAAGTGGTGTTGGTATTTGGTGATGAGGCAGGGTATGGGGACAGCACCAGGGGACTGCTGGGGTTTTCGGGCGGCGGGGGGATACATGTCTGCCGTACATAATGATCACATTCATCATAGGGAGATCACTGTTTTTATTAAAACAAACTTTGTCAAACTGACTCTGTCAAGGGCATAAGAACTAAGGTAGCAAGAACCTTGGGAAGGCTGCTGCTTAGCCACCTTCTCCTACCATCCTGACTGCAGCAGGGTCCTGCTCACCTGCTGTCATGGGCACGACGTCGGAACGCAGGAGCATCTGGATACGGCCGGCTGGCTTGTTCCCAATCTTGATGTCCATGTACACCTGAGGATTTGACCGGGCCTTTTTTGCAGGGGGCTCTCCCTATGTGCCAAGGAAACCATTAGTTAGAGACAACTCCCTGACTCTCCAAGTAGGAGTGCAAGTACTGTTCTGCACACACCTAGAACACAACTCCAGTGAGCAGGCTGGACAAAGGTGTTGAATGAAAGGTATTGGGCCTCAACAGGGCTGTAGGAGGGAGAAGCTCACAGTCCCCAGGTCATCCTGAGACACACCCACATGCTTCCCCTGCCCTGCAGCTGGCCCACAATACACAGCTCATCCTTAGCCCCCAGCTCGAGCCCACATAGCACAATCCAGTTAGTGGACCCACTCATGTCCCACTGGCTCCTCCCTCCAACCCTGGCCTGCATTATCACAGGCCAGCATATGAAAGCAGGGAGAACTATCTTGCTTGGGCCTAAATGCTCAGAGGACAATGGAGAAGGCTAGCACCTTGCTTTGGGCTCCAAGTTGGTAAGACCCACCTGGCTGTAATGGCCTTATCTTAAGAGGGTCAAGGATGACCTAGTGGGATTCCACTGACTGTGAGGGCCACTTTAGGCATTCTGCTGTGCATCTAAAGTTCTGGCTTGGGTCAACAGTGGCTGGAAGGTGACAAATTAACCGAGTGAGAACACAGAAAGAAAGAACTAGAGAAGGGGAAGGAGGTCCATTCTAGGCAACTTTAAGCCACCTGTGAGACTTGCAGGGTGAGCAATCTATCTGAAGCTTAGCACTGGACACACAGACCACAAAAGTCAACAGCATAGAAGCACTGCCTACTCTCAGACTGACTACTAACTTCTCAGCTTCGAGAAAAGGGAAAAGCTGCAAGCCAAAGATGAAACACAAAAGACTGACGAAGCTCACAAGGATGCAGAGGAGGGGAAGCTCAAGAAGCACTGGTCCGGGAGGTGTGCTAAGCACCAAGGGAAGTGCCAGGGCAGGGCTCTTCCTGCCTTCTAGCAGGGGAGAAGACTGATCCCACACTGGCTGAAGAGAAGATCCACTAGCTGGCCCTGCTAGAGGGCAGAAACAGAAAGAAACAGCCTAGTCCCAGACTCCTCAGGGCAGGTGTGGCTGCTGGACAGGGTGAGGAGGAGCACCCTCCTTCCCCTCAGCTGGCATCGAAAATCTGTGGCACAGCACAGGAGACCCAAAGTGCGATTCAACACTTTGCCTGCAGCAAAGTGTTGATGAACAAAGTGTGAATATTTCTCACCTCCTGGGTTTCTGCCTTGGGAGCTTCTGCCCCTTCTTCCTCTTTATTCTCTTCAAGAGTCTTTCCAGAAAACTTCTTCAACCAGTCATCATCTGACCAAACTGGAAGGAAAGAATCAAACTAATGTCAAGAAAATCAAGCCATTGGCCCACTGCCAAGCAGCTGCTTTGATCAAGCAAGATGGAAAATCCTGTCGCCCTCTCAGCCAGAGGGGTCCCTTTTGAGAACTCCCAAAGGTAAGGAATGTTCCCACTGGGAAAAAAACTGAGCTCTTAAAAGAACTAAGTTAAATAAAATTATGCCAAAGGCAAAGATATGCCTTTGCTGGTTCAAGCCCTTGATGGGGCACTCCAGAAATAAGAATTCTGAGAAAACTAGGAAAATAAAGAGACCAGGCAAGATTTCTCTCAAAAAGAAACAATTACTGTTTCCACATAAAGGTGCTAGATGCCCTTTGCCATTGTGATCTGACTTCTAGAGGCAGCATTTAGCACTGACTTCCAAGTAAATGTGGATAAAATGCAACTAAGGCCAAACTGGAGGACACAGTGGGGAATCTGTGAATTGCTCCTGCTCACCTGGTCTGGAAGAGCCCTCTTTAATTCTCATTGGTTTGGCCAAATTGACACGAATTGTCCGTCCAAAGAGCTCAGATTCATTCTGAAAAGATTGAAAATCCAGCTGCTTAAATTCTATTGGATTAAAAGAGGGCCAGAGAGCTCTGCATTTATTTCTAAAACATGTTCATGATTTCTCCTCCTTTAATCTCTGAACACCTAGCAAATTATGCCCCCCATCATTAAGCACCCATCAAGGGAGGGCGGAGCTATCACACACTTCCTTTCTTCAATACCAGCAGACTTGTGCTGCGAAAAGGAACTCTGGCCTCTGGGGAATGAAATTAGGAGGATAAATGCAGTTTCCCAGAACCTGAATTCTTCAAAAGCCAATATCGGCTTTGCAATGGTGAAAAATGATCTGTCTCTGACAGCTAAAGAATGTGGTTGGTGAATGGGTAATAAAGAACAGGGAATAAAGAAGAACTTCATTATCCAAAGGTCACTTGTACTGGGAAAGGTCACTTAATGTGAATCCACTTAAGGCAGTAAGGAAAATTTCATGGCAAAAAATAAAAAAAGAATTTTTTTCTTTTGACTGTGACTTTGTGATGCAACTAGAAATAACGAAAATATAAGTTTCTTAAAGTTAATGTTCAGGATGAACAATGCATTGATTGGTAATACAAACATGTAACAGGAGCTGATTAGTTTGAAGTTATTTTTTCCAAAAAAATTCTACCAACAGTATGCACTTTGTACCTGACACGAAAATTGCATTTCAGGATTTCAAGGAGGGCACAAATACCGAAAAGCACCATCATTTTTTTCTTAGGACTTTCCCAGGGTATTCAAATCACTTGCACCAGTAGCACACCCTGTCATTATTCTTATTGAATTTCTCTTCTCAATTGTTAACTGGTTGAACACTTGATGAAATCCTGCCTCTTCTGCAAAATAAGCAGTTTCAGTGCAATCAATTTGCATTGTGTTTGTGATTTATTATCCTAGACATCAGGAAGCCAGTAAGAGATAGGCCAATAAGGATGATTACAACCTATATTACTGTTAAGTGAGGAAAGAGGTCTGAATAAGGACTAATTTTACAAGTGCTCAACTGATAGTGAATATTTCCACAGGATGTAATTTTTACTTCCTGACCCAACCTGACACTCTTGGGGCTTCAGAAAACCAATATATGAACAAAGACTTCTGTACTACCGAAGAGCAACTTCAGTTAGAATGAGATTTCCAGCCATACCATGTTGTCAATAGCTGCTGCAGCATCCTGCAAGGAAATACAAGGTATATGTTTAGGCTTGCAGTTGCATGTTTTTTGAGCATCTAACACACACACACACACACACACACATATTAAAGAATCAAATAGGAAAAAAAACACACCTGTACTTCTTGCCTGGGCTGTACATGAGTCTAACAAAGACCACTTCTTGGCTGACTTTTAAACTGGTGGGGCTACACTGTGCCATCTAGCTGAAGGCACAAGAGTGTCAGGCCAAGAATGCTCAATGAACAGGGCTGTAGGAGAGCTGCGCAGAGCAAGAGGGATGGGGCCTGGCAAAAGGTTTGAGCTGTTCGTTATTCACAGTCCACAGTCTGATTGAGAGGAGCTTTCTTTCAAACAGCACTTCAGATCCCTCTGGGAGCATTAATCTAAGGCCAGGATATTTAACTAAAAACATGACAGCTTCCTTTATAATTAGTAATGATAATATAAACCAAAGACTATACAGGTAGCACAGAGTTTTCTCACCTCTGCCAACTCAAATTCAACAAAAGCAAATCCCCGGTGCTTTTCTGCAAAAAAAAAAAAAAAAAGAAACACAAAAGACAAGTAATTACCATGTAGGGGGAAATGGGAACAAACAGAACAGTCACAAAGAAAGTCAATTATATGTCATATCCAGATACCAGAAATTCCACCCAATCACTATTTAAGAAGGAATCTTATTTTTTGATTTTTCTTAAACAATATTTTAAGCAATAATAAACTTATTTAGTGGTCATAACTAGTGAACTATGTTTTTAATCTTTAAAATTAACATTTTTCTATCACAGCCAAACTTAAGCCTTAACCTTTGCACGCAAGACAGCTAGAAAAATGAAGTCATTTTAACATATCAATTACTCATCCATATTACAATTTGAGCATCAATAAGACAAAATGCATGAATTGGAAAACCATGTAGGATGTTCAGTTTTTAGGCAAATGCTGATCTAACTAGGAAAGCCAAACACAACAGTGTTAATTTAATGACAGAATTCAGGGACTAGAAAGATCCTAAGAAAGCTAACAGAACCTTATTGTTTTTGCAAATTAAGATTCCCCAGGCCCAGAGAGTTTAAAGACTTTGCTAACAATCATGCACAAGGTTGACAGAGCTGTTGCTAAAACTCTGAACTTAAAGATTACAATAAAGGGGCCGGGGACTTAGCTCAGTGGTTCCACCACCTGCCTCGCAAGCGCAAGGTCCAGAGTTTGATCCCTGGTACCGAAAAAAAAAAAAAAGATTACAATAAAGACACACTATAAAACTGAACTATAACCATAATGCCAGTTGAAGAAATAGCCACCCAAGTGTACAAGGGCCAAAGCCTCAATGCAAGGCCAGGTTTCCTGATGCTCCATTTATTAGCACAGCTGCTAAGAGAGGAGCAGATGTGATGATCTCAATGCAGTTCATTTCTGTTGGTCTACTGAAAATTTGACTTATTTCAAATCCAAAAAATGCAGACTCTACTAAGTATTTACAGTCCACCACCACACAGCCTCAAACCAGAAGAGGCAGATCTTTCTGCATCAAGATCAGTCGTGCTCTGGTACAACCACTGTGGAAATCAGTATGGAGATACCTCAAAGAATTAGGACTGGAAGTCCCATTTGACCCAGCTATTCCCCTGCTGGGTATCTTCCCCAAAGAATTAAAAGAATCATACCACAGTGATATATGTGCACCCATGTTCACAGCAGCACAGTTTGTAATAGCTAAAACTTGGTAACAGCCCTAATGCCTATCAATTGGAGACTGGATAAAGAAAATGTGGGGTTTTTTTATTAAAAAGGAGTACTACTCAGCCATAAAAAATGAGAAATTAGAGATATTTATAGCTAAATGTATGCACATTGAGGTGATACTCTAAAGTGAAATAAATAGGTCAAACATGTAAATACTGAATAGTTTCCCTAGTGTGAGAAACTGAAAGTGTAAATAAGGACTAAAAGGTATAACAGATAATGTGAAATAGGAAGAAAAAGGGCAAAGGGGAAGGGGAAATGGGAGGAGTAGGGGAAAGGAAAGAAGGGAATGGAATTAATATGAGAAAATGAAAAAATGGAAACAAAGTCTTTGCAAATAAGAAAGGATGGAGGGGTTGAAGGGAGGGCAGGGGAAAGGGGAAAAAATAAGAACCAAGAGAGATTATGTAAAGGTGCAAATTTCCAATGATGAATGTCATTATATTGTATACCTAAAATGTACCGATAAAATTAAATTTAAAAAAAATCAGTCATGCTGACCTAGAGAAGCACACTCTGTTCCTACACACCAACCATATTTAAAATGCATTTTTACTTACTGTGCTGAAGGTCACACCCAAGGCCTTGCATGTGCTAGGCAAGCACACTCTACCACTGAGATACACTCCCAGCCTGAGCATGTGTATTCAGAACTTTAATGTGACTTTAATTTTTTTTAAAAGTGCTTTTCTTAGTAGGTGAGTTCTGAACATGACACACACCAAAACCCACCTGTTTCATAATCCAGAGGAATCTGAATATCTGTGATGTCTCCAAAAGGAATAAAAGCAGCATGAAGAACTTTGTCGTCCACCTCTTCTGCCAGCCCACCTGCAAATAAGTCAAGAGTCTTCTGAGCCACTGTCCTCCATACTCTTGCAGAAGTCCCTGAAAGCAATCAGCCTGCAGGCCAAGGAAAGGGATCTTTCTACCTGGTCCTTTGGTCACACACATGTATGAAGCTAATTCCTCTCTTTATCCTTCTTTCAGGCCCTCACCTCCGGGATTCCTGCAATAGCTTCATAACTATCTCCCTGCCTCCATTCCCTCTGTCATCTCCACAAAGTGAATCAGAGAGATCTTAGGAGAGTGCAAATCTGAACCTATCATCTCTGCTTAAACTCTTTCAAAGGCTTCTCAACGTCTTAGGACAAAGTGCAAACTCCTTAACCATGTATACGTTCCTTGTTATGTACACAGCTTGTCCATCTCTCCTGCATCTTTCACTTTTTTCTCCCTAATTTCCCTGGGTTTCCTGAAAAATGACCCACTTGCCCCCAAGTGTCAGACTTTTTAACGCCTTTGGGCTTCTGCTCCTGCGGCAGTAAACAGCTTTGCCTGTACTTGGCTTCCTGGCTAACTTCTGCTCATCAGCTCCAGCGTCACCGCATCTGCAAAATTTGTTTTCATCTCTCCAGACAGATAGGTCGTTTTTTTCCGCAGCCAAGCCACTGTTATTCTCCTCCGTCCCCACCACTGCGCTTATCAAACTGTGATACTGACATTATCCCCACTGGCTACTATGGGAACTCCTTCTTTTAGGACAGAAGGCGGTGCAGAGGTTGAGCCACTGCTGCACCGAATGTATATAAAATTGATGGGCGCGAGGTTTTGGGAGGCCATAGTATTCCTCTATGACTTCTGCTGGTCTTCGTGGACCTTAGCGGACTAGGTCTGAAGCCGGAAGGACCGCTGCATTTTTGGCTCCTGTCGCAAGGCAAAGCACTACTGCCATAGACTCGGCCTTGACAGCTGCTCACCGCCTACCCCAACCAGACACGTGTCCCTCCCCAAGCCCCGACCCACTAGGGACCGGTTCGCCCAGACTCTGCCCAGCTCCCGCGCCTGCTCACCCACGTACAGCACGCGTTTGGTAGTGGCCATCTTGCTCCCGCGCGCTTCCGCCGGAAGCTGGTATTAGACCCACCCCCTTCCCGCCACCGCCCCTCTCGACGCGACCCCACCCAAAATCGCCAGCACACCCCGCCCACTGCCGTTTTGGTGGTCCCCTTCTCTGCTTCCTCTCTGCCTCCCACGCCTTAAGAGGTGCCCGATGATTGTGAACAGGCGTGAACGTGGCCCTCCCAGTGCCGGTGGTGTTGTAGGAGTCAAACCTTGCTCTAAACAGCCAGAATATTATCAGCAAATGATCAACTACAAATAAGCTATGACTCACGGGCCACCCGCCCCTTGTTTTCTAACAACCCAGGAGGTAAGAATCATTTCTACCTTTTGAAATAGTTGAGGGGAAGAATAAAGCCAATAATACTTCGTAACTCATAAAATTATTTGAAATTAAAATTCAGTGCCCTAAAGTTTCATTGGAACACAGCCATGCTCATTCCTTTAAGTACTATTTTCCGTGGCTGCTTCATTCTACAAGGGAGACCTATGGCCTGCAAAGTCTACGTAAGGTATTCATCATGTGACCCTTTAGAAAAAGAGTGCTTACCCTTGAGCAAACTAATACATAAATCCCAGACTGACATAAGTGGTAGAAAATAATGAGGCCATTATTTTAGATAGAGCAGGGTATTAAGACTTCCTTGAAGTGACATTTAAAAATGAAACCTGAAGGAAAAGAGGAGTTAGAGAGAGGAGAAAGCAGAGAAAAGAGTTCAAGAAGAGGCAGCTAATGCATACTCAGGGAATGAAAGACAGGGCATGGGTGGTGGAAGTGGAGAACCCGAACTCTCTTGTGGGCTAAGCCCTTAACCAGCAGGATGTCCATTAGCTCAGAATTGAGTTGAATTGAATAGTTGGACACACAGTTTGTGTCACAGAATTGCAGAATTGATTGACATCATAAAAAAAAACCACACAGCAGGAAACTGTTGTTTCCCCTTTATAATTTTCATCCCCTCCTTTCTCCTTATTAACTTCAAATGACAGGGAAGGCACAAAGGCAACCCTTCTCTTGACTGCACCTGAATATCCAAGGTCACCCCTTCTACCTTCCAAACTGAGCACCAAAACTGCAGAGTCTGAGAAGCAGCTCACCTTGCAGTGGAAAGACCCCGGGGACTCTAGCAGCATTCACAAGCGTGGAGTTGCCCATCAGCAGCAGATTCCCATGATCTTTCTAGCCAGGTTCAAACACATAATTTTCATGAAAGAGCAAATGTTCTCCTGTGGGCAGAACAGTTGATAAAAAGCCAAATTAAATCCCAGCAAAGAATGGATCCTGGGCCCCAGGTTCAGGCCCCTGTTCTCCTGGAAGCACATGGAGCACTCATCCAGCATCTGGTTCTGTTCCTGGCAAGCACTGCAGCCAGCATGGAGGTGGACAGGGACTCCTGCCCCTGCTTGTGGGCCGAAGGATGGGGTGCTTGGGAACAAGGAGAGGCAGTGGATTAGCACTCAGGAAAGGATACTGATTGATGGTCAAGATTAGGACACTCTAACAATTTGACACCTGAATGGCATCACTCAGAATGCTAGGGGAATGGGAGAAGACGCAAAAGCTTCTGATCAAATTCAATCCATGTTGGAGGAGTGGTGCTAATGTAGAACCTATATAAGTTCTCATATATATTCATGTGTATATAAAAATGCAGCACAGTTAGAAAGGAGAGGTGAAATAAACTATTCAGAACACTCAATGTCAGGCCTTATGCTGGGGAATTTCCATAGACATTTAGTCTATGTCCAGTATCAAGTAAGCTTTTTGAGGTACAGATTAGCATACTATTTTATGCATGACACTCAGTGAAGTCAAGCAATTTTCTCATATTAGCAAAATAATAATTCAATTTGTTTATGGAATATGTAGAGCTACAGTAACTATCTTTAGCTTTTTTCTAAAGACCACATTACTTCCCTTAAAAAGATTCCCAGGGGCCAGGGATTTAGCTCAGTGGTTCCACCACCTGATTCACAAGTGCAAGGTCCGGAGTTTGATCCCCGGTACCAAAAAAAAAGATTCCCAGAAGTGACTGAGTTAGAAGATATGAATATCAGAACAGTAAAAATTATTATATACTATACTATCTCTCATTAAGTACTCCAGAAATGTTAGCATATGACCTCAGTGATGAGATCAAGACTAGAAGCAGACACCTGAAGACAATAGGAAGGACTCATCTGTTCACTAATTTTTGGAAATTCTCATCTGTAGAGACCCTTAGGTGGGTGAACTGAATGGGAGAGTGGGAAGCATCATCTTCTCTCCTTTATTTCTTCAGGGAGCATTTAGACATCACAATCACACTTAGCACAATCTGTATTTTTAATTGCTTGTTATATCCACTTCTTTTCTTCCAAAGAAAAAGCATTTTGAGAGCAGGGACCATTTATTTACCCCTGTGACTCCAGCCTACTGTGCATTCCCTTGGCACTTAGTAGAGTTTTAATATCTGATGAATGAAGCAGAGAAAAGCTTCTTTCAAATAAAGTCGAAATGGAAAATTCTATTCTTAGCACATTGGGTGCTTTGGCCTCCCACAGAGGCTGAATCACAGGCCATGGGCTGCCAACATTGGAGGTGCATTTATGCAGAGCAACAGCCCATGAAGGAGTAGAAAGCCTGAGTGTGGTAACTCAGGTGCCAAGGGCTGCACAGCAGTGGGCTCATCAAAGAAAAGAACAAACCACATTGAAGCCCATTGCTCTTGGCAACCCAGTCTCCAGGAGTCTTTTTTTTTTTTTTTTTTTAATTCATAACTAAGTCAGTGTTTATAACATGGAGACTGAGAGCCTAGAAGCTGAAACATTCTAGCTGCCAGCCGGAGACACTTTTCTCCACTGGCAGTAGGAGGCAGAGATGTCCAAGTCTGCCAGAACCTAGAGCTGGAGGCCCAGTTTCCTGCCTCACGTTATCATCTCACAGCACTGCATTCACCAATGGCCTAGACTCCCGTCTCCTAGGTGCAACTGGTTCTGAATCCTAAGACAGCGGTCCTAAAACTTGAGCCTGCATCAGAATCCAGAGTTTTTAAAAACACGGATGTCTGGGTTCCCCTCCTGGCTGACTGAGTAGGTCTTGGGTAGAGCCAAGAATGTTCATATCTAACAAATTCCCGGGAATGTGGAAGCTGCTGTCCTGGGGACCATGTTTGAGAACCACTTTTTCTAAGGGAGTCATAGCATATTAAGAACAGGGCAGTAGAAATAGTCTATTCTGGGTGCAAACAATAAAGGTGTGTGTGTAGAGCATTTTAGAACAATAACGGAACCTAGCAGGGCATGGTGGCACATACCTGTAATCCCAGCACTAGGGGGTGGGGGAAGGGCTGAGGCAGGAGGATTGCTGTGAGTTCCAGGCTGACCTGGGCTATATTCAAGCCCAGCCTGAACTACATAGTGAGATCCTTTCTCAAAAAACAAACAAACAAGCAAAAACAAACTAAACCAAACAAAAACAAAAACAAAAACCAACCAAAAAAACAAATACCACTTTTTTTTTCCAGGGCTTTGGAAATTGACTGACTGTACCTGATAAATCATAGAAAAATGCTGACCTTCAGGCAAGAAGATCAAGACTGTTATTCTTGTCTGGGGCTGCTCAAATCTCTCCCTTGCCCCGCCAGCACAGACAGTGAAGCAGTGCCCTCCTCCCAGGGCTGTTTGTGAAAACCAGCTGCCACTAAGCTACTGCCCCTGCTTAGTGTTAGAGCACTTGCTTAGCACGCTCAGGGTCCTGGGTTCCATTCCTAGCACCACAAAAAAATGAAAACAAAACAAAAAACCAAACACTTGGGCATATTTTTTGCCCCCTATTCTAAATCAAGTTTTTTCCAGCAGCTGGTTTTCACAAACAGCAAAGAGTGGAAACTTTACTGCCACTAGGTATTTGGGCAAAACCTCTGACTAATCTGGTTTACCACGAAAGTATTTAGACACAAGGATGGCCCATGGGAAGCCAAGATAAATAATAAAAATAAGAATTAAAAAACAACAACTAAGAATCATAACTCTAGAACAAATGCTAGGTAGACAGGTTCTGTAGGTTTACTCCAGGCAATTACTAAACATCCAACCAAAATAACAAACAAACAGAAACCTACAAGCAACAGAAACAACCTCGGGAACAAAATCAGAATCTACAGTTGCTACAATATATTATTTTAATTACCCAATTCTCAACAAAAGTATATGAAACATTCAAAGAAACAGGAATATATGACTTATGCTCAGAAAAAATAGCTCTCAATAGAACTATCCCTAAATAAGCACAGATATTATATTTAGTTAAGACATCAAAGTAACTATAATAAATAAATTTTAAAAATTAAAACTAATTGTTTAGAAAATTAAAATGACAATGATTCAACAAATAGGAAATCTCATGAAAGAACAAGAAACTATAAAAAAGAATCAAACAGGAATTCTAGAGTCAAAAAGTATAATAACAGGAAAAATGTACTAGATGGGTTCAACAGCAGATCTGAGATGGCAGAAGAAAAAAAATCAGTGAATTTAAGGATAATTGAACAGAAATAATCTAATTTGGAGAATTTAACTTGGAACAGACCCTCAGAGATCTGTGGTACAGTATCAAGCATACCAACATATTGTATAACAGGAGCCCTGGAAAGATAAAAATGAAAGGAAAAGGAGAAATATTCAAAGTAAAAAAGGCCCAAAACATCCCAAATTTGTAAAAAAGACATTTATCTACAGATCCAAGAAACTTAAGGAAATCCAAATAGGATAAATGCAAAGAAACACATATTCAGAGACAAGGATGGCCCCTGGGAA